GTGCCCCACACTCCACGCCCCATGCCTGCGCCTCGTGCCCTGCGCCCTGCACCAGCCTTGCTATGCACTGGATCCCCTCACCTCCTACGCCCAGATCTCTCCTCTGCACCAAGATCCCACACAATCAGGCCCTTGCACGCTCGAGCCATCATGCCCCTACGCCCCTGCCGTTGCACCGAACCAGCCCTTGCTGCTTGCTGCGCCGAACCCACGTTGCTTGCACGCCAGCCACTGCCGGCAATCATGCCTTCTGCACCAAGCCCACGTTGTTTGTAATAAGGGTTTCTAATTTAGTTTTTGGTGATTTTGTAATTTTGTTGAAATTAAGGGGTAAAACCAGTATAACAAAGGAATGGTGGGGGTGAAATTGGAAAGAAGATTGCATGTGAGATTGAACCGGTGGTTTTTTCGGTTTCATCGGTTACATTGGTTTATTGATTTTGACCAATTTGATCGATTTTGACATACAAATGGTTCTTTTATGTGAACCGAACCGTTTTCACCACCGGGTACCAATCCGACCGATTCAACCGGTTGGTCTGGTTCGATTTTAAAAACCTTGATATGAGGTATCACATTTTAAAATTAACTCTTCATTTTCTTTAGGCAATTGTAGCTTAAGAAGATTTTTGCAATATTCTTTTATTCTTTTCATATGATTGGTGTGATAAATTTTCTATTGTTGACTTTTTTTTTTTTTTGAGCAATTTTTGTAAAGAATGTCTTAATTGAGATAAGTTTTGAATAAGCCGTTCTACATAATTGAGTATTTCTAAAAACCTTTGAATTTGTTCTTTAGATTCTAATTTATCTAAGGACATTGAAATCTTTTCATTAATGTGAGGTTGTAACTGTATTCCTATGGAATCTATCGTTAATCCCAAGAATTCAATTTTGGATTTTCCTATCTCTGCTTTCTTTTCAGAAAGTAATATTGCATGTTTCTTGTATAAATATGCAAATTTTTTAAGATGACATAAATATCTTAAGAATTTCTTCTACTTTAAGTTCTATATCCTTAACTTGAGATATTAAAGTTTTTGACTCTTTGATAGACTGTATTTCTTCTTTTACTTCTCTTAGATCTCTAGACTTTTTTACTTTAGTTATTTTTTTCTTTAATAGAATCAAATTCTAGAGAAAGGGATTTTCCATTTCTCTAATTTTTCTTAGAGTATTTTCATTGATAGTTTTTGTTTCAAGAATCTTATCAATGATTATTATATCTTTGCTATAGATTATGCTTCTATCCAATGTATTAAGTAGATATGCGTTAATTAAATTTATTTGTTCCTTATTCATGTTGATTTTAATAATTCAATAATTTCTCTTAATTTATTAATTCTTTGTTCTCTAAATCTAATAAGTCTATTATACAATTGTGTTATTGAGTTTAAACTCTTATTTTCTTGGATTCTTTGTCTTGATTCAATTAAAAGATTTTCTTTAATTTCAGCTAGTATTCTTTCTTCAGATTGAATTACTTGCTCAATTTGATTACAAATGTTTATTATAGTTCTAGTATATGAGGTAATATCTCCCATTAGAATTTATTGGGGCCTTTCTAATTGCCTCCATATTTTTTGAGGACTAACTTTGCTATTACTTAGTTTTTCTTTTAACTGAGACTTAACGTCTTCCGTTGACTTAAGGGTATAAATCCTTAAACTTTTAAATTTAGGGTTATAAATCTTGCACTTATAAGTTTAGGGGTCAACTCCTTCAAAGTTAGTAAGTTAAGGGGTATTTCAAGGACTTATGCCTCAAAGCCTACCATCAATGGCTGTCAATGGTTATACAAGGTAGGATGATAAGGAAGATGGAAGTAAAGG